TTGTACATACCATGAAATATACATTCTGTTCTGTTCCGTTTAAAGTTATTTCTTGTCCCTGTGTATTTTATAACCTTTATAGACGGACCATCCCTAGTTCAATCACGATATATCATATGATTAAGGAGGTACACAATATATTGCGTACTGGCATGGCGGGTAAAAGCGAACGAAGAACATGCTGTAACAAAACATCACTTTGTGTAAAGCTCATTCACCTGGCTTTTCTAAAACGGCGATAAAGTATTTGTAGAGAAAATATAACTTTTTTTATTTATTTTTTATTTCAAATAATTCGAACAAAATGTTTTATAACCAAATTATATAGCATTATTCAGCAATTAGTTTGAACAAAATGTATGGTAAACAAGATGTTTTATTGCATATCTCTAAATCGTTTGATAACACTTAAGTGTATGTAACATAAGGAAGGCCACCATGTAAATAAATGTAAGAGACAAAAAGTGCATAGTATCATTTTCTTATGTGTACCATTCTTATCAGTTCACTGTCATAACCTTACAACTCCTTATATAAAAAATGATAGTAAAACAAAAGGGACGTGTTGGCCCTCATACATGATTGAAAACAATATTGCACTAAAAACGTGATAGATTCTTTTATGTAGAAGTCGGACTTGGGAAAAATTCAAAAATGACCTATATCACAAACTAAATTGAAGGGAACAAATGAATCCTTGAAGATTCAAGTTAAAATTTAAATCAATTCAATATGTCTTATCCTCATATTTTTTTCTTATCAGACGAAACCATTAAATAATTTATATTAAGTGAATTTTACCTAAAATTGAAATTGGACGGAAATAGTTTAAAGTTATTTACAGGTAAAGTTCAACGTATATCCAATTTTAACAACTACTTCAAACACAAATTTCCAAATGTGAGCCGTAGATTGAAAATGAAAAAGAACCATGGATATATAATGAATTTGAGCTTTTGCTTCTATTTTATTACAAGAACACCGTATGCGGTGTTAACGCTCGTCTGTTCCTGGCAATGCCCAATAATAATTGAAAAATATCTGAGCTCTGTGCATTGTAGTTGCGCAAAAGAAGATTTAAGATATTTTTTTTCTATACACATCTATATATTTTATTCAGTGACCCCCTAGGACAATGACAATTTTGAGCCTTGGGCCATGACTTACATACTTGGGTAGAGAACCTTACGGTGATGCTACCTGCGAAATATCTAAGCTCTTGGCATTGAAGTTTCTAAGGACATTTTATTATACAATTCTGTATAAATAAGTAGACCTCGGGGCACAAATGTTGCCCCAAGTGGTATAAATGACCTAACTTTTATAGAGACCCACTTTGAAATGCTCCATGCAATAACATGCTCTTACATAACTTAGCTCCTGACATTGGAGTTTCACAAGAAAGAGTTTTAAATCTTTTTACCTATGTAAGCCTTTGTAAACTAAGTGACCAATTTTGACCTAATGGGTATGATTCATATTATACCTTGCTAAGAACCACAAAGTGATGCTACATGCCTACAAGCCAAGCTCCGGGCAATGTGTTTCTTAGAAGCTTTTTTTCTCCATTTTTAAGTCTATAATAGCACGTGTGACCTACTTATGTATCCGAATGGGACCTTTATATAACTTAAGTAGTATTAGAAAAGCACCTAAGGACCATACCTGTACAGTTTGATCATAATCCATTAGGTGTTCTAGGAGGAGATATTGTTTGAACAAATTGTGGACAACGACAGAGAGAGGAGAAGGAATGACGACAGAGAGAGAATGACAGTCATCAGTTTATGCTTAGGTTAGTTTAACATTACAAATGATATCTCAACAAGGAAATTTTTTGACCACTGGAGTATTTATCATTTCACATTGAATAAGGTCTAAAAGGGGATGATTGTGTATCCTAATGATATAACTTTAATGTAAAGGTTTACTTAAGGATCATTCAAAAAAGGTTTGAAGAAAAGACATTGATTTACTGTATAGCGCATTATATCTGCGGTGTCAAATGTTGGCGTTTTTTAAAGTGTTTTGAATTGGCGGGGTCATAAATTGGCGCAAACGCTTTTAGACCGCCAAATTAAAACACTTGTTGGCATAAATATGGGGTCATGAATTGGCGATTACAAATAAAGAATAAAAAAAATAAATAAAAATAACACCGGTCACGCAGTAGTTGACTGTCCTCGTTTATTTTACGGCATACGGTATACCTATGCTTGGTCACCTTTATCTTTACATCGTGCTAATTCTGAACGATTTTAATAAAAACATGAACTATTTTTGTTATTATTTGTATCGTGATTAGAGAGATGTTTCTCAAAGCCTGTTAGACCTTTTAGACAGGAATGGAATCAAAGCTGTGTTTGTACCTGGTGCTTGTACGGATCGCCTCCAGCCATTGGATCTCATTCCTAACAATTTATTTAAGTCTTATCTTAAGGCAGAGTTTTAATCATTTTACGGTGATGAAATTCAAAAACGGTTAGCTGCTGGGACGGATTTGTCAGATATAAAAATTGACCTGCGGACTTCTGTTGTGAAACCATTGCATGCACAATGGCTGGTCAAGGCTGTTTCTAAACTAGCCACAAAGCCCGACATCATTGCCGAGTCTTTCTCTAAGGCAGGACTATAAAATTCGTTAAGTAATTAAATGTACAAAGTGTAACATGATTCCATATCTGATTTTTATATGACACTTAGATTTGTTTCTCGTCGTGTGATCATCTTCGTAATAAATACAGTATATAGATATATAATTTCACAAAAATTTCAGCTTACTTGTAATGTTTATTTTTATTACAAATAATCAAGGGAGATTACTCGGACAAACCAAAGCTATTTTACCATGAGTTGTCTACCTTTCAAAGAATAATGGCGATGATCTAAAATGGCGGTGCTTTAAATTGGCGGTGTTTTGAATTGGCGCTACTGACCCTGACCGCCAATATAGCCAAATATAAACCCCCGCCAAAATAAGTACTTATACAGTACTTAATTCAGTTACATAAGCCTTCATCTGAGCACCTTGTAATGTAAGCTATGAAATTCATGTATTCAACGGAATGCATAAAATTATGATAATATAAAATTGCATAATTAAATATAGTTTCACAAACAGCAACATAAAAGCTCTAAAAGCATGACATTAGACAAAAAAGCCATAATTCCCTTTGTAATAACAAATCATTTGTATGAGCAAAATACTTCACTTTAGACTATGGGCCATGATGGCCATTAAATCGCTCACCTGTATATAGACCCCCGAGGGGCTTTTATTTGAACAAATTTGGGAGACACCCATTTGAAAAAGTTTCATGATAAATATCTAAGCTTTAGCTGTAAAAAGATTTGTTTAAGTTTTTACTTTACACATAAAGGGAAAAACAATGCCCCCCCCCCACCTCTGGGTTGGGCCAATTTTTCCTAAGGGCTTTTATTTGAACAAACTTAGTAGTCACTCATTAAGTTCATGCTTAATATCTAAAGTCTAGCCTTTTGGGTTTTCTAAAAGAAGATTTTTTAAGTAATTACTATATACATATAAGGAAAATCAATGATACCCGGAAAGGGGCCAATTTTAACCCAGGGGCCCTTATTTGAACAAAAATGGTAGACATCTATTAGAAGATGTTTCATTCTCAATATCTTAGCTCTAGGTTTTAAGGGTTTTTTAAAAGAAGACTTTTTATGTTTTTACTACATACATAATGGGAAAAACAATGACCCCCCTGGGCCGGCCTATTTTTGGCCCAAGGGCTTGCTTTTATTTTGACAAATAATATCTGTCATATAGTGCGGTTCGGATCGGAATATCCGTCCCGAGGTGACCCGCCCATGGGGGGATGACCAAGGGACGGATATTCCGATCCGAACCGCAAACATACGTCAGATATTTTTTATTGCATATTCTACCATATTCTATTATATTTTTAATTCTTTTTCTTTATTTTCAATGAAAATTTATATCATTACAACCGTAACTTCTTTCTTACAACATCGTATGAATTACAACTTCATTCATAACGGTAAAATGACGTCATCCTAACCGTACCGTTGTACAACAAGCGACTCATCTGGAACCCCCATGCCAGATGAAAGTTCCGGCATGGGTAAAACTCACGGAAACGCCAGTCTGATATGCAAGAAAAACTTAATGGACACCATCTAGAAGATGTTTCATGCTTAATATCTAAGCTATAGCTATTTAAGGGCTTTTTAAAAGAAGATTTGTTAAGTTTTTACTATATACATATAAGGAAAATCAAGATCCCCGGGGCCGGGCCAATTTTAACCCTCGGGCCCTTATTTAATCAAAAATGGTAGACAACCATTAGAAGATGTTACATGCAAAATATCTTAGCTCTAGCTCTAAGGGTTTTTTAAAAGATGTTTTAAGTTTTTACTATTTACATAAAGGGAAAAACAATGACCCCCCGGGGCGGGCAAATTTTGATCCCAGGGCTTTCATTTGAACAAACTTGGTAGACACTCACAAGAAGATGCTTCATGCTTAATATCTGCGCTCAAGCAATTTGGGCTTTTTAAAAGAAGATTTTTTTTAAGTTTTTACTATATTCAACTAAGGAAAAAACAATGACCCCCATGGGTGGGACCAATTTTGACCCCAGGGCATTTATTTGAACAAACTTGGTAGATACCGTCTAGATGATGTTTCATGCCAAATATTTAAGCTCTAGTTCTTTCGGTTTTCTAAAAAAGGGAAATTTTTAGTATTTTCTTTTGGTTGCCATGGCAACCTGAGTTCTGCTTGGAATGAAATTCTTTGAACAATTTTTAAAGTTGACTACCACAGGAACATTCCTGTGAAGTTTGAACGAAATTGGCTTAGCCGTTTAGTTTAGTTTAGTTTAAACATATTTTATTTCTCAGAATATATATACATGTTATAATTCACAATATACAGATGCAATTCAAATATTCTTAAAAAACAGGATTAGAATGAAAGACAACATGTCTTATGAAATTCTTCTCTTAGCCGTTTATGAATAGATGCCGTTAAAAGTAAAAGTTTACAGAAGGAAGGACAACTGACGGACAACGGACAGACTGGCGAAAAGCGATCACAAAAGCAAACCATGTGACTTTGTGACAGGTGAACTTAAAAAACGTGCAAGCATAATTTCATTATAAAACACTTTTTACAAATGATAGTGAAATCATTGAGCATATCCATTATTTTCATGAACAACTTACTACTTGCTAACATTATAAACGTCGAAAACATATAAACAAGTAAACACATTAACAGTATCAACATGGAACAATTTGTTAAATACAACCATTTTGAGTGGTAATTCAAAAGTGTTTATTTAGTGTTGCAAATATATATTTTTTATACTTTGGTCTACAGTGATATTCAACCTTTATCACAGTTTTTCTAAAACAGCTTAATAATCAGTACATTACTGAGTCCCCTTAAATGTATTATCATTTAGAATTTTGAGTTTTGGTACACTTGTACATAGCAGCTACTTCTTCCGCTGTGCATTCTTCATATCCCTCACTATCATCATCACTTGCCGACTCACTACCTGACGCAAAATCACTAAAAGCATCAACTGCTAATTTATCATCATAAACTTTCAAATTACTAAATGCAGTTCCTTTCAACTTATCATCCATCTTGTTACCATCTTCAACAGCCATCTCTTCCTCTTCATGGACATGCTGTTCATTCTTATTGTTATTCAATTCCAAATTGGCTTTGCCCATTTTAAAGATATCTGTTAGAACAACAGAAACTCTCTTTAACTTAATCCCTGATAAATCTTCATCTGCCTTAAACTTCTTTTTTCTTGCATTGCCATATTCTATTTCTGTATTGGTGGCGTGTCTTGTTATTCTCTTATCCATGATCTGTCCCTCATTCTTTAAAATAAGAAATTTGTTGAACACTTCACCTTGTTTAGAGAAATTTTGCAATTTTTTAAAGGAATAGTCCTTCACATCTCTGTGTGACACAACCTCCTCTACAAAGCCACTATCGTCTTCTTCAGAACTTATTCCATTATCTCTTTCATTTCTTTCAATTTCAGCAGCTCTTTTTTGAAATGGAGTATCATTAAGTGAATGTTTTTGACATGCCCTATCAATATCTTCATCACTGTCACCACTTACATCAATATTCATTTCTTTATCATTTTTAATTACTTTCTCATCGTTTATTGCGCAAGTTGTATCTTCATCTGAATGTATAATACTTGTTTTCATAGCATTACTTTTTCCAAATGCATGTTTTTTATTGGAATCTCTTCGAATAGCTTCGCTAGAGTCATCAATGTTGTTTGCTAAACTCTGTGTTGCTTTTAAAGTATTCTGTAGTTCACAATTCATGCCACTTAACTTTTGTTCAGAAAAAACCTTGTCCTTGCGATACAATTTCAAACTTGATGTAATACTTTCAATTCTTGTGGTCAAATATTTCTTGGCGTTCTGTAATTCTGGTCCTTTCTTTCTTTTCCATCTTTTAAATCTATATGGTTTATCTTTATTTTCAAACAAAGAGTTTGAAATTATTAATTTGTTCTCGTTGTAACAAATGGTTTCAGCTGATCTGGAGCTTTCTGACAAATGCAAATTTCTATTTTCTACATTACACAAGGCCAAAACCTTGTCATTATCTTCATAATGTTTGTTCTCCCGTTTAACTCGTACATAAGGATGACTTGTAGCCTCCTTTGTTACATCTTTTTTATTCGACTCAACCTCAACATTTTCATCACCTGTATCATTTTCACAAACAATATACTGATCTGCTAATTTGTCACTTCTTGTTTCATTTCCAATACCCGATTCCTTTCCAATCAAATCACTTACTTTTGGTAAAGATTCCGTGGCTTCTGGCATTACAGCACATGAATCTGTTGCAAATGGGAATTCTGTTTCTGGTGAGTATGAATTTTGTTTTAATGCTTTAAATGTGTTATCTCTATTCGTCCCCGGTGCTTTACAAACATCCCCAACCATACTCATATCTTTCTTATCTTTACAGATACCTTGACTTTCTACTTCAGAATTTTGATATATGGATGAAATTTCATTTGACAATTCTTCACTTGCTCGAATTAATGTATCACCATTTTCAATAACCACCTCTTTTACATTATCTTTACTGTCTTCAGAGCTAGCATTAACCATAATATCAATACTGTTAAGAGGTATGCCATCTGGATTTGTTTTCAGCTTTTTTGAAGTAATTTTTTCAACTGTTTTTCCAGGCAAAAGTTTTTGACAAAATTTAGTTTTATGAAGCTTATAAGAAGATTTATTTGTAAACTTTTTGTCACAATCACAGCAGTTGAACAAATCGTTGGCATGCATGTTTTTAATGTGATTCTTTAAAAACTTTGAAAACAGAAAGGACTTTTTACATATGTCACACTTTAATGACGTATGCTCACTTCTTAAATGCATACTTAAGTTCCACTTAGTGTAAAATTTCTTTGAACAAACTTTGCAAGAATATTTCAAGTGTGTCTTTTCATGACTGCTTAGATCTTCAAGGTAACAGAATACTTTGTCACAAAGTTTACAAGTTTTTTTTCCAATATCTGTATGATTCTGAAGTACCTTCTTGGACTCAAAGATTCTGTCACAAGTTGTACATGCAAAGCTATTTTCATCTTTAGAATCGTCACATTTATGCCGACTGTAATCCCGCCATTTTCTAAAACTTTGCCTACAATCCTCACAAGTAAATTCTTTTGGCATCCAATGATCTTCTTTTACATGTTTCAAACGATCTTCTCGACTGTCAAAAGATTTTCCACAATGACAAACATACTTTAGGTTTGGTAATTCTTTCTTACTAAACTTTGTAACGCTTTTTGCTAGTGCCTTACATTGTTCAGCAATAGACAAACATTTTCCATTTTTATTTATTCCAGTATGTGCTATACCATTATGTCTAAGTTCCTCGGTATTTGTCAAGTGCATTTTCCTGCCAAAATGTCTTGATGTATCATTTAACTTTGATTTCAGTTCTCCATAATTTTCTGGGAGGTTTAAAGGGTTTATAGAATTCATTAGATATTTGTCATTTTTAATACCATTTTTTGATGATTTTTTTTCAGGAACACTGTAATTTTCACAACCATTATTTTCTGTTTGCTTCCTATTTTTAAGATTTTTTCCTACCACGAACAATGAACTGTCCTTCACATTTTTTGAGTTACAGAATGATTTCCCCCCTTGTACATGCTTAACAATATTTGGTTTAACAGTACAAAATTTTGAGATCAAAAGTGCTCTGCCACTTTCTTTCTCTTCTGCTCTACAACATATTTTAAATACTCTCTGCTGTGGCGAAGCAACTGATTCAGTATTGCTTAAGGTTTTCAAATATACACCAGTCAAAAGCATTTGTTCACTCTGATTCAATTCTAGATCTTTTTTATCTAAACGAGTAACATCAATATCGGTAATGTCGTCGTCAATTATTCCATTTTGAAAGTCCGGAAAATTAGACACAATAGTGAACAAAATTTCTGGCTCAAGCTGAACTTGGTTGAATTCTGATAATCTCACATTTCCCTTTTCACTAGATCTACATTGTATCGTGGGAACTTCATTTTCACCATTAGTAACTATTGGAACATCACTTTGTATAACCCCCTCTTCAGCTATCGGTTGATTTCCTTTTCCACTGGATTTATTTTGTATGTTGGTAACTTCATTTTCTCCATTAATAATTATTGGCATATCACTTTGTATTACTCCTTTTTCAGGTATTGGTTGATAACCTTTATCACTAAATCTATGTTGTATTTTGGTAACTTCATTATCTTCATAACGAGGTACTGGCATCACACTTTGTATTACTCTCTCTTCAGGTGTTGGTTGATTTCCTTTATCACTTAATCCATGATGTATGTTGGTACCTTCTTTATCCCAATAAGAAGTTGTTGGCATATCAGTTTGTATTACTCCCTCTTCATGTATTGGTTGGTTACCTTTATCACTAATTCCACATTGTATGTTGGTGCCTTCATTTTCTCTATTTGAAGTTGTTGGCATATCACTTTGTATTTCTTCCTCTTCGGGTATTTGTTGATTTCCTTTAACACTTGAACTATATTGTATGTTGGTAACTTCATTATCTCCATAAGAAACCGACAGCACATTACTTTCTATATGCCCCTCTTCAGGTATCAGTTGAACAAACTTGTTGCTTGATTCACTACTTCTATCCATCCGTTCCAATTCCATTTGCAAATTGTAAGCGGCATTTTCAACCTCCTGTTTAACAATAACATCAATTCCTCCTCTTATTATTTGTGAAGAAAATTCTTTATCTTTCGTAATTTCATTTGTGCACAGAGTCTCTGTAATATCATATCTAACATTTTCTCCAAACCCATACTCATGGTCTTCAATTTCTTTCTTTATATTAACAATTGCTTCTATGTCCTCCTGTTTACATACTATTACTTTATTATTCTTTATTTTTCTTCGTACTTCATTTTCTTCAAATTTTGTCTTCCTTGCATTACAAACATTCAAGACATCCGTTAATGTGACATTTTCAATATTTGCATCATTTTGAACGTTTTTATCTTTGATCTGACTTTCCGCATAGGAAAGAAATGTTTCTGCAGTTTCCTTTTCTTTCTTCACAACCACTCCATGTGCAGAATACACAAAACCTGGTTCAGTCATTTTAACCAATACATAACAATCATCGCCACACAGGTGATTTTAATTACTGCCAAGAACGCTATCTATCAAGACTTTCTCACATCAATTTTAAAGCTAAGGTTCCTGGGTCAATTTTAGGGTCTGTATTATACAGTATTTTTTTCCAGCAACAAAACTTGTTTTTCTTAAAAATTCATCACAATGCACACATTTCTATTCTTTTTGCACTGCTGATTCACATACTTAGGAAATTTGAGGCAAAATATTCTCAAAAACATACAGCTAAATGAATGTAAGACAGTTCTTTAAATCCTTGAATTACAGATCTGAAACGAGAAAGAAAAAGAAAACTAAGTATATCATATCATGGCAAATCAATATTATTAAGATACTTTTAAGTGACAGTACTGGTCAGTCTGAAAGCAAAAATAAAGCCTGTAAGATAAAGCCAACAGTAATAGGACCTTTACCAAGATCTTTCCATGCTGGGTTCATGCATTTGAAGAAATTCGAAAAAAAAAACTAGAAATTTGTCCATAGGACACGGGTGCCCCCTAACTCCACCGACTTGTCAATCTTATGTCTCTAGGTCAAATTTTTTTTTGGCTACATCTGCCAAAGTTGAAAACTCAAATTATTTTATTAAGTTAAGGGCAAATACTACAAATACTGAATAAATCCCCAAGGAAATCCCAAGGTGCATAAGTACACATGCTGACCAACATTCTTGAAAACTTTCAGACCTACTAGTCAAATACTTTCTGAGTTATGTGTAACACAAGTTGAAAATTGGAAATTTTTACTTATTCAAGGGCAATAACTCTAAAAATACTAAATAAATCAACATGAAAATACCCATGTGCACAATTACACATGCTGAGCAACATTCTTTTAAGGTTTCATGACTCTAGGTTAAATACTTTTTTAGTTATGTGCGACACAAGTTGAAAATTGGAAATTTTTACTAATTCAAGGGCAATAACTTTAAAAATACTAAATATATCCACACAAAAATACCCATGTGCACAAATACACATGCTGATCACATTCCAGTGAGGTTTCATGACTCTACGTCAAATATTTTTTGAGTTACATGCAAGTCAAGTCAAGGTCAATAACTCTTAAAATTCTAAATATATCCACATGAAAATACCCAGATGCACAACTTCATATGCTGATCAACATTCTTGTAAGGTTTCATGACTCTAGGCTACGTGCAACACAAAAAGAGAATGGACGGACGGAAGGATGGACGGACGGACGGACAAGGGTAAATCTAAATGCCCCCTCCCCCTATAGTGGGGGCAAAAAAATGTAAAACAAGCAAATTCGTTGAATTTATATCCCCCGCCGAGTACTGGTTATTACTAACACAACAACTGAAGACATAAGGCTTTATTTATATATTTATCATGGCATAAACAGTAATATTCTTTGAACTTGATAAATATTCAGGGCAATAACAGAGCCATAACTCTGTGTTAAATAGTAATATGTGGAAATGCCAATGAGATGTGTGCATACTGCATAACTAATCAAGGGCCATAAATCTGAGTTATATGTGTCTGACCGGAACAAGGCGACTATATGCACATCTCCTCTTTGTTTCCCATAAAGTTTCATTGAATTCCAGCCAGTAGTTACAGAGAAGTAGCACGGAAATGATTATTGCTCTGGTTGTATACTGCATAAGTTATCAAGGGCCATAACTCAAAAGTTAAAATGTCTGACCCGAACAAGGCAACGATATGCGCATCTCCTCTGGTATTGAAGGTTCAAATAAAGTTTCACTGAATTCCAGCCAGTAGTTGCACAGAAGTAGCGCAGAAACAAATATTTTTCTATATGCATACTGCATAAGTAATCAAGGGCAATAACTCTGAGTTAAAGTGCCTGACCCAAACAAGGCAATGATATGCGCATCTTCTTTTGGTATTGAAGGTTCCCATAAAGTTTTGTTGAATTCCAACCAGTGGTTGCAGAGAAGTAGCGCGGAAACGATTTTTGCTCTATATACATACTGCATAACTAATCAAAGAGCCATTACTCTTAGTTAATGTGTCTGACTCAAACAAGCTAATGATATGCGCATCTCCTCTTGGTATTGAAGGTTCCCATAAAGTTTTGTTGAATTCCAGCCAGTAGTTGCAGAGAAGTAGAGCGGAAATGATTTTTGCTCTATTTGCATACTGCATAATTAATCAAGGGCCATAACTCTGAGTTAAAGTGTCTGACCCTAACAAGGCGAGGATATGTGCATCTCCTCTTGGTATTAAAGGTTCCCATAAAGTTTCGTTGAATTCCAGCTAGTAGTTGCAGAGAAGTAGCATGGAAACGATTTTTACTCTATATGCATACTGCATAACAAATCAAGGGCCAAAACTCTGAGTTAAAGTGTCTGACCGGAACAAGGCGACGATATGCACATCTCCCCTTGGTATTGAAGGTTCCCATAAAATTTTGTTGAATTCCAGCCAGTAGTTGCAGAGAAATAGCGCGGAAAAGATTTTTACTCTATAATTATGCATACTGCATAACTAATCAAGGGCCATAACTTCGAGTTAAAGTGTCTGACCATAACAAGGCGACGATATGCGCATCTCCCCTTGGTATTGAAGGTTCCCATAAAGTTTCGTTGAATTCCAGCCAGTAGTTGCAGAGAAGTAGCGCGGAAACGATTTTTACTCTATATGCATACTGCATAACTAATCAAGGGCCATAACTCTGAGTTAAAGTGTCGGACCGGAACAAGCCGACGATATGCGCATCTCCTCTTGATATTAATGATTCCCATAAAGTTTCGTTGAATTCCAGCCAGTAGTTGCAGAGAACTACTCCGGAAACGAAATTAGGACGGACGGATGGACGGACGGACGGACTACGCCAAAACTATATCCCCCTCCTGATTCCATCGGCGGGGGATAAAAAGAGGGCCATAGTGGCCCTGAAATCGGGCCCCTGGGCAAATGCCAATTTTAAACCAGGGACTTTTATTTGAACAAACTAAATTGGTAGACAGCCATTAGAAGATGTTTCATGATAAATATCTAAGCTCTAACTCTTTGGGGTTTTTAAAAGAAGATTTTTTTAAGTTTTTACTATATACATACAGGAAAAAACAATCACCTCCCCCCCCCCCCCCCCCCCCCCCCCCCCGCCTGAAAGGCCAATTTTGACCCCAGGGCTTTTATTTAAACAAACTTGGTAGACGCAAACTAGAAACTATTTCATGCTTAGTATCAGTATCTACTAAACTCTAGCTCTTTTGGTTTTTTAAAAGAATTTTTTTTAAGTTTTTACTCTATAAAAAACAAGAATGTCGAACGACACATATACATTGTACCCCCCTTTCTAGCCACTGACTCACATAATTGGTAATTTTATTACAGAAACTTGCCAAAAATGGGTACATGGAAGTGTTCAATTATGGAAAAATCAACGAAAGCCATTTTGACATTAAAGGCCCCTGTGACCTTGACCTTTGACCTAGTGACCCCAAAATCAATAGGGGTCATCTACTAGTTATGACCAATCACTATGTGAAATATGAAGACTTTGTTATACACACTTTTCAAGATAATCAGCGGAAACCATTTTGACATTTAAGGCCCCTGTGACCTTGACCTTTGACCTATTGACCCCAAAATCGTTAGGGGTCATCTACTAGTGATGACCAATCACTATGTGAAATATGAAGACTTTGTGAAACATACTTTTCAAGATAATCAGCGAAACCATTTTGACATTTAAGGCCCATGTGACCTTGACCTTTGACCTAGTGACCCCAAAATCAATAGGGGCCATCTACTAGTTAAGACCAATCACTGTATGAAATATGAAGACTTTGTGATACATACTTTTCAAGAAAATCAGCGGAAACCATTTTGACATTTAAGGTCCATGTGACCTTGACCTTTGACCTAGTGACTCCAAAATCAATAGGGGTCATCTACTAGTTATGACCAATCGCTATGTGAAATATGAAGACTTTGTGATAAATACTTTTCAAGATAATCAGCGGAAACCATGTGGTCTACCGACGGACAGACCGACAGACGGACAGACCGACAGACAGACAGACCGACAGACCGACATTAGCAAAACAATATACCCCCTCTTCTTCGATGGGGGCATAATAATGAAAATCAATGACCCCCTTGGGCGGGGCCAATTTTTGACCTTAGGGCTTTTATTTGAACAAACTTGGTAGACATTCACTGGAAGATGTTTCATGCTTTATATCTAAGCTCTAGCTATTTGGGGTTTTTAAAAGAAGATGTTTAAGTTTTTACTATATACAAATAAGGAAAATCAATGACCCCTCAGGACGGGGCCAATTTTGACCCCAGGGCATTGATGTGAACAAACTTGGTAGACACTGACTAGGTGATGTTTCATGCCAAAGATTTAAGCTCTAGCACTTGCGGTTTTCTAAAAGAAAATATTTTAAGTTTTTACTATTATACAAATAAGGGAAATCAATGACCCCCCAGGGCCGGGCCAATTTTTACCCCAGGGCATTTATTTGAACAAATTTGGTAGACACCCACTAAAAGATGTTTCATGCCTAATATTTAAGCTCTCGCTATTTGGGGTTTTTAAAACAAGACTTTTAAATTTTTCCTATATACAAATAAGGAAAATCAATGACCCCCGCCCCAATTATGACCCCAGGGCATTTATTTGAACAAACTTGGTAGACACTGATTAGTTGATGTTTCATACCAAATATTTAAGCTCTAGCTCTTGCGGTTTTCTAAATGAAGATATTTTAAGTTTTTTCTTTCCGTTTTTTCTTTCGGTTGCCATGGCAACCAGAGTTCTGCATGTAATTAAATTCTTTGAATAATTTTTAAAGTTGACTACCAAAGGAAAATTCCTGTGAAGTTTGGATACAATTGGCTCAGAGGTTTATGAGGAGATGTCATTTCAAGTAAAAGTTTACGGACGGACGACGGATGGACGACGAACAAAAAGTGATCACAAAAGCTCACCATGTCACTTTGTGACAGGTGAGCTAAAAATTGACTTACTAATCAATTGAGACCATTGCACATATCTAACTGATATTTTTGGCATAGATTCAACCTTCAAGTCTTCCATAAAATATTATTTTATTAATAAAACACAAAGTGAAAAATCTTCAATCAAATACAATATATTTGTAAGTAGATCTGTAATTCTACAGTTACTTATAATGTATGGTGCAAAAGAAAAAATGCCAGTAATTATCAGACTAACAGAATAATAAGAGGGCCATGATGGCCCTGAAATCGCTCACCTGTATATAGGCCCCCGGGGCAGGGCCAATTTTTACCAAGGGTTT